TCAAAAATCTTTGGTGCTTTTAAGGGAAGGAAAAATTCAACCTAAATGCAACTGTCAAATTAAAACTGAGGCTTCGTGCACGAGGAGCCAGCGGTGAGCTTCTTGCTGCTGCTTTGGGCAACACCTACAAAGAGACCAAGAAACAGAGGCAGCCCTGCGGGCTCTCAGCAGGGTTTTAACCTCCATGTGGTTGCACTGACAGCAGAATTAACTGCTCTCTCAAGAAGCATTTGTGAGTCTCTTTACCCTGTAAGTGTGTCGGGGAGGGACCCTGAGCAGGGATGAGGACAAGCACCGTGCCATGCTGACTTTAGCCCCCTGCCCCCGCTGTGTACGCAGGTCACACACACTGACTGTGGAGCCTGCCCAGACCGGGCGTGTGTGTGTGTGTGTGTGTGTGTGTGTGTGTGTGTGTGTTCTGGGGCTCGACCAGGCGGTGCTGGAATGAATTGAAAGGGCAGTGACATTTCCTTGATTGAAGGAAGCAAGATTGTGGTCAGATGTCAAGGAGGCGAGCATATCTTACTGCATCACACCCTGTTGTCTGGCACTCTATTAACTAGAATTTGTCTGTCCTGTTCAGACCCTCTGTGGCTTCCTGAAGAGAGTCCCTTGGCCGGCATTCAGCCTTTCACAAGCTGGCCCTGACCTACCTTCCCACGTTTCTTTCTCACTAACTAACAATAATGGTAATACTTGTATTTGCCTATACAAAATATTCTTATATTCCGTATTTCTCTGAATCCTCTTAGTAATCATTTTTCGAGATGAGGCCATAGGCGCAGAGAGGTGAAAGGACCTGCCCAAAGCCGCTACGCCCGGAGTAGACTGTGGCCGTGGTAGACTATGCGTTACCCTTTGGAATAGTTGCTGCCCCTGCCTAGGGACAGGTTACACTTTCCTGCCCTAATAACATGAGGGTTTGGCTTGGACTTGCTTTGGCCACTGAAATATGTGGGCATTAAGTGGCACATGTCACTTCTGAGTCCGCTTGTGATTTTCCATGCCCCTTCTCTCTACCAGAAGACAGGCACTATCCCAGGTAGGGCTGCTCTGTCAGCCTGGATCCTGAGTCCTGGAGGGACACGTACGTCGAGCAGAGTTAGAGCTAGCCCACCCTGGACATGTCACGTGCATGAGAAATGACCCATTGCTGTGGTAGGCCACCAAGCTGTTGGGGTCACCTGTTGCTGCAGCATGGCTAAATCTCAGCTGACCACGTGGTGGTCAAACGTGGCTCGGTTCTAGACCTCCTGAGAGTGCAGCTCTACCACGTTTATCCCCTGTGTTCCAGACAAACCACCCTGCTTATTCTCACCTCCGTTCATTTCTTCATCCTGTGGTCTCTGCCCAGAACTCCGTTGAAGTCCTACCCATCTTCCGGAGTCATGCTTGGAATTCACCTCTTCTGTGACGCTTCCTCAGAATCATAATAGTGCCAAACACTGAGCAGCATTTACTTATTATGTGCCTAGCAAACTCTACTTGTTTTAATTCATCTCATCTTCACCGCATGAAATAAGCCCTATCTCTGCTGCCATAGAAGGTGAAGAGAGGTAAAACAAATAGTCTAAGATCACAGAATTGGTGATTGGCAGAGCCAAGACTCGAACCCCACACTCCTTCTACTCCACTACCCATTCTCCTTCTGTTCCCTGTTATATTTCTACACATCCCTTCTCCTCAGCTATAACAGTTTTACCTGATTGACCACATTTTCTAGATCTGAGTTTAGGTATGAATTCCGCCATTTACTGGTGGTATGACCTCGGGCTGATCACTTAATTTCTCTGAGCCTCAATTTCCTCTTTGTATCCCCCACAGCACCTAGTAAGGTGCCTAGTAAATACTGACTGACTGAGCAAATGGATGAACTCTCTGAGCCCTAGTTTGCCCATTTGTAAAATGAGTGTAATAATGGAACCTCCTTCATTGGGTTGACTAGCACAGGGCAGGGTACATGGTAAGATGTATATGATACAATGTGGCTGTTATTATTATTAGCTGTAGGAAATGTAAATGTAGCATATAACATACAGAGAAAAACTCTACTTCTCACTGTGGGGATTGGGAAAATCTAGCTTCATGGCAGAAGTGATTTGAGTGGTCATTGTAGAGGCCTAATGGAATCTGGACACAGAGATGAGGTGAAGGGCAGGGCATCTTAGGCAAAGGGAACAGCATAGATAAAGACACAGAGACAGTGTGAGTCTTAAAATCTTAATCCTCCTTCCCCCAGTTATACCATTATTAGGGTCAGATCTAAGGAAATAATCCTAAATATGAAAAGATTTTATGCATAAAGATGGCCACTGCAGTATTTATGAAGGTGAGAACATGGAAATAACTGGTAAGTCCAACAATAGGGAAGTGGTTAAATAAATGACCTTATATCTACCTGATATATTATTATCTGATATATAGCATTATATTATAATTAAATGTATGAGAAGTATGTAGTAAGGAAAAAATTTATGAATGATGCTATGTGGGAAAAAAGATAAAATGAATAATCAGTATGGTTACAACTATATAAAAGCAAGTTTTAAAATCAAAATAATAAATAAATAAAATACACAGAAAGTCTAGGAGGAAATATTAACAGGAGTGGCTTCAGAGAATGGGGTTTGGTGACAGCTCTGAGAGATTTAAGTTTTCTTCCTTACATTAATCACTATTACTAGAGCTAGCCTTTAATGAGCACTCACTATGTACTAGGCACTGCACTAATATTTTACATATACTATCTCACTTAATCCATACAACCCAGTGAGGAAGGTCCTCTTGTTAACCTACTACAAATAGAGAACCTAAGACTTCTATATTTATACAATAACCATGTAATTACTTGTATAATAAGAAAACCAAATATTTACTGCATTTATGTAATACTTTATAACTAAGAGATAAGAGATTCAGATTCCTCCCCCCCCTTTTTTTTGTGCTACTTCAGGGATAAAATACACATCATTCTGCATGTTTCCTTATGTACTGATTACCCTTATTTTGGTAAATTACATTTCTTAAAGTGATACTGGGGTCAAGGTATATGTGTACCTTTTTTTAATTTTGAACTCATTTTAGAGTTACAGAAAAGGTATAAAAATAGTAGAGATTATTTGGCAATAAAAAAGAATAAAATACTGGCACATGGTACAACTTGGATGAACCTTGAAAACATTATGCTAAGTGAAAGAAGCCAGACACAAAAGTCATACATTCTGATTCCATTTATATGAAATGCCCAGAATAAGTAAATCTATAGAACAGAAAGCAGATGGGTGGTTGCGTGGGTAAGAAGATGGGGAATGGAGAACTTTGAGGTGGTTTCCTTTTGAGGTGAGGAAAATGCTTGCTTGCTTGCTTGCTTTCTTTCTTTCTTTCTTTCTTTCTTTCTTTCTTTCTTTTTGAAAATGCTTTCGAATGAGTGGTGCTGGTTGCACAACGTGGTAAATGTAATAAAGCCACTGAGTTGTGCACTTTAGAAAGGTGAATTTTATGGCATGTGAGCTATATCTCAATAAGCTATTATTTTAAAAAAGAAAACAGTACAGAGAGTCCCATGTACACATCACTGAGGTTCCCCTAATGTTCACAGCTGGGAAATGAATGGATAAATTGCAGGATGGCACTACTATGGAATAGTAAAAGTACAGAATAGTACGATTCCTTTTCTCCCCCCTAAAAATTGTTTAAAAGAAATGAAGACCCTTTATATGTGTGTATAGGTTACCTTATGTTTGCAATAGCGTACATAAAATAATGCAAGTACGCAAGTGAGCTTAATACTGGTTACTCAATGGCAGAATTAAGAGAGGACAGACGAAATTATGCAGTTTGTTTTTAGAACCCTCTATTTAGTTTAATTCAGTATAAAAGGGCATGTAATTTTTCAATTTAAAAATATTAAGAAAAAAAAAAGGACAAGAGATGCTGCCCTTGGGATTTCCCATGCCTAGACAGTTATCTCTAGGTTTTAAGCTGCAAGATTTTATTAATGTCACACATACAGGGGTCCTTCACCATCAGCTCCAGGGAGAGATGGAACCTGAGTAGGAATCCTGGGGAATGGAGGGAGGAGTAGGAGTGCTGGTTAAGGTAAAAGCTTCTGGGTTGGGCAGAAGCGCTTTTGAATCCCAGCTCTCTACCACCTACTGAGCTGTAGACCTTGGGCCAGTTGCTTAACTGCCCTGTGCCTTGTGGGAGTAATTAGATGTCCTCTTTCATTGGGCTATCGTGAAAATAAAATGAGATCATTCATGCCAGATGCTTAACACAGTGCCTGGAACATAGTAGTCAATAAATGCTAGGCATCATTATTATTATTAATATTATTTACAGTAGATGTTTCCCAGTTGTTTGAGGAGTGGGAAATGGCTATAGACATCTAGAGGAGTGGATGATGACCTCAACCTTGCCAGGCCTACCATGCTTCCCAACACCCAGGTTGACGTGCCACCAATCTGAGAACTGACTTCGTTCTTGCTGGTATTATCCCCAGCTAAAGAAAAAGGCTCCATTTCCCAGCCTCCCTTGCAGCGAGGGGCCGGGGAGGTCTTGGGTGACCCTTCCCTCTGGGAAGATGCCCTTTTGCTCTTCCTTTCTCTTTATGCTTCTGTGGCCTGGATCCATCCCACAGATGGTAGCTGGAGCCCTATCAGCACTCTTGGCCCATGCCACAACGTCAAGGAAGGATGGTGGGGCGGGAGCACGGGAGCCTGAGACCCTGATGCCCCTGGGGTCGCCATGCCAGCCCCAGCTCACCTTCCTCTGGACTTCTCTTATAAGAAAGAGCAATAAACCTCTATGTTGCATAAGCCCCTTCTCTGGGTTTCCTAGACTGTGCAGATAAAGGCAGCCCTAACTGAGTGCTCACAACACCATTAAGCTAAAAAGCAACAGCTCCTGGCTAAGAGCAGATGAAGGATGTGACGAGGGGAGGGGGGCTGGCTGCCTTCTCCTGGGTGAGGCCGGAGGTGGGGCTTGGCCTGGACACTTACTCATCACCGATGTAGAGCTGGGGCCAGACCTCGTTGACATGGGTGTACTGAGGACTGCCCTTCCAGAAGAGACGCTCCAGCTCGAAGGCTCCGGGAGTGCAGTACTCATCCGCTTCTACCTCTCCCTCCACCTTTGGCGGCAGCCTCTTGGCAGGCGCGTAGGCATTTTGGAGGCTTGTCTTTGGTTCTCTGGATGTCATCTTGGAGCCACGGGTTTTTCTTTCCTTTCTGCAATTGGTCATGAGGGGGTCAGGATTATGGGTCAGCAGGGGACAGAGGTAGGGAATGGTCTTTACAAAAAGAGGGGGGGATAAGCTGACCTTCGGAGTCAGCAGGCATTTCGCCAGCCTGCTGTGCTCCCTCCTCTCCCCGGGCCGCGGGGGTAACCAAGGAAGGCCACGATGGCAGTTACACAACGCTGCACCAACGTTTCAGTCTCCTTCAGTGCGAGAGGGCTGGTGGCCCTCTGACATGGGCCAAGGAGGGTTTGCAGCAGACCTACGACAGGCTTCAAGCCTCAGAAATCCCTATAGGCTGCCAGTCCTTTGCCTCCTTTCGTTTAGCTTTTAGCCCCTCTTTGGTGCCTACTTTTTCCTTTATCTGATTGGAATCTGCGGGCTCTGGCCATGGTTCCCGCCATTCCAGGCCCTGTGATTCTCCACACCTGCAGGCAGCTGTCGGCCAGTGGAAAGGGCACACCTGTAAATGCAGAGCCTGTTTGATCCGAGCAGCTGTGCACGTTCTGGGAGCTTCAGGAGCCCTCGGCTGGAAGGAAGCTTGGCTGCGTGAGGGTCCCTCGGCACGTTAGGGCAGTTGAAGGCAATGTTGGCGGCTCTCACTCGAGGGGGTTGGCAGTTGTGCTAACCTACCAGGGGTCAGAGGAGATGTTCCAAGCTGGAAAGCTGTGTTTGGAGATTGAAATGCATACTTGGAGAGCGTGTCAGGCTCTGCAAATGGAATGCGGGAGAAGAGTTTCCATTGTCCCCAAGGAAAGGAATTCGCTGTGCAATTGGGCAGCGATGCATCTACACTCAGCCAGCCCGAGCGGAAGTTACGCTCTGAGACTGACAAGGGCAGCAAGACTGAGAACCATGGAGGTGAGTGATGGAGAGGGAATGTTATTTATTTAACAAATACTTAGCTGGCGCTTACTTTGCACCAGGCACTGTTCCAAGTGCTTTGCAATTATTAACTCATTTAATCTTCTTAACAACCTTCTAAGGTAGGCATTATTATTATTATCTCTATTTTACAGGTGAGGAGAATTGTAAATTGAGGATGTTTGTAACACACGGTCTTGGTCTTCTGAGAAAGAAATAGTTGCTGGGAGGTAGGGGTGGGGGTACAGTGTGAGGGGGGTATGCCAGGGATTTGAAGAATGTAAAAAAAGTTTGCTAGTGTAGGGTGGCTCAGTCGGTTAAGCCTCCTCCAACTCTAGGTTACTGCTCAGGTCGAGATCTCAGGGTTGTGAGATTGAGCCCTGTGTCGGGCTCCACACTCAGCAAGGAGTCTGCTTGGGACTCTCTCTCCCTCTCCCGCTGCCCCTCCCCACACACACTTGCACGCTGTTTTTCTCTCTCTCTTTCAAATAAATAAATCTTAAAAAAAAAAAAAGTTTGCTAGCTTCAAAGACCACTAGGATCATGTCAAAAGACTTAGAACACAACTCAGAGAGGTTCCCACTTGTCAAAAGGGAACAATTTGAACATGAATAATAAAAATAACTGCAATGGACTGAAACACATCAAACATTTAAATCTTAATGATACTTAAAACGCTATTCACTGTTGGAAGATGTAGGGGACCCGCTCATTATTTTGAAGACCGGTAAGTAGAGGGAAAGAATCTAGCATTTATTGTTCCTTTCCAATACAAATTGTACTACTCTGTAGATGAGGGAAATTTGCTCTTTTATAGAAGTATTCCAGATAATAAAGAAGGAAGAAAGCCCCATTTTACAACAGCTGATGGACTATTGGATATAGGCATTCAACTCTGACTGTTCACCACACAAGAAGAGAGAATCAGACATTACGGACCTTCTGTTGGGAGAACACACCATTGCCATGAGAATCTCGCCAAAGGAAAGCTTGAATCTTAGCAGAGTCCTCAGAGTCTAGACCTAACAACCAATTTGCAGGAGATTCCAAGGACAGCTAAATTATACCACAGGTCCTTACCTTTTGGAAATACATATCAAAATATTCACAGATGAAATGATATAATGTTTGGGATTTGCTTCAAAAATAATATTCTTGGAGGGGCGCCTGGGTGGCTCAGATGGTTAAGCGTCTGCCTTCGGCTCAGGTCATGATTCCAGGGTCCTGGGATCAAGCCCCACATCGGGCTCCTGGCTCAGCAGGGAGCCTGCTTCTCCCCCTGCTCATGCTCTCTCTCTCTGTATCTCTGTGTCTCAAATGAATAAATAAAATCTTTAAAAAAAATAATATTCTTGGAAAAATATTACAATACATTTGTGTATGGGGTGGGGAGTAGAGGTGAAGGTAGGTAAGAGGCAGGATTGCCCATGGATGGTGGTGGTTGGGGTTGGATGATGGTTGCAAGGTAGTCACTGTTTCTCTCTGTGTGTCATTTACATTTTTCATTAAAAAATTTTAAGAAGAAAAGGAGTTAAGGAACCTGCTCTGAGGAACTGGATTCTCCCAAGTTCACAGCAGATGAATTAAAGGATCACTAGCTAGCTGTGTGTCTTTGGGGATTATGGGAAGCCAGGATTTGTGACTTCCTCCTGCAACATCCTGGGTTGGGAGTGGCAGCAACAGAGGTGACCCTTTGCTGGATTCTCTTGAAGTGTGATCTAAAGAATGGGTGTGAATCATGTGGCACTTGCTAGAATACAGATTCCTGGGTTACATCCTGGACTGCGGCTCGGAGCCTAGGAGTGTGTATGTTAACAAGCTCCCAAGTGAGTCTGATGCTCCCTGAATATTGACAATGATTGCCCAAGAGTGTGGCTAAAGGGTCAAGGAGCTGGTGAGTCAAGAGAAGGGTAGAGAAGGATAGAAGGTGTTCAGTATACTTCCTATCTTCTCATTGAAGGAGAGGCCATATCTCTAGCCCAGAATAAGGTGCAGGACTGGGAGGAGGGAAGAGCTGGATGACCTTACCCAGGGACTCCCTGACGATGGCTTTATTTCTTGAATCCCAGTGTCTGACAGGTAGCAAATCGATGGAATGAGTGAGTGAATGGCTGAGGGGGAGGGGAATAAGGCCTATGCTAACAAGGACACAGCCAGAGCTGATGAGGCAGGTCTGAGTCTTTTGGCTAATGGAGGAGGGGCGAGGGTGAGCGATGGGCGCCATGTAGGACAGATAGTCTCCTGTGGTTCTCAGGCCCAAACTCTGCTGTGGGGCCTGCCTGCTGGTGTTTCCAGTCACAAAGGGAGGAGTTGTTTCCAGGGATGGCCAGAAACTTCTGTTGTGGGAACCAGCCCATACAACCCTGTCTGCCCCTGAAGGAGGCTTTAGAGAGGTGATTACACTGGAGTAAATTGTGTTCTGAAACCTCTGCCTGCCTCCTTTGATCACTGAAGCTGACCTCACCCTTGCGGAGGCTGTTCCTCCTTCATTATACTGTGGAAGGAGCCATCCCCATCCCCATCCCCGTGCTGAAAGCCTCGGCTGGATTTTCCAGACAGAAGAGGAAGTGGTGTGGTCTACCCAGAGCAGCTTGGCATGCAGAAGGAGCTCTGGGATCTATTATCCTCCAGTGTGCAGATTTGATGGGGGAAGAGAACAAAGCACAGAACAGTCCAGAAACCACAGACCTGTAATCTTTCCAAATCCTGAAGGCGGCTTGTGTGCACCCCTCTCTGCACGGCTCCCAAATTTCTGAATCTCAGAGAGACCGAGAGCGTCTGTTTCCCAGACCACAGCCAAAATGGAAGGGGAAGACAAATTTGTTCTGTTTGGTTTCCATAGATTCGACCCAGAGATTAACTGCCAAGGTCTCGATGACACACACAATATCAATCACAGGCTAAATGTCATAATGAGAGCTGGGCAGGTTGTCAAGAGAGGCCTCCAGGTTTCTGTTACAACTTCATATTTAAAGGTTTGGTCCCAGGAAACCAAATGCCAACCTGAAGGCCACTTGGCCTGTCTCCTCCTCAAAGGATAGCAAACTCGGGCTCCTTCCTGGAAGGCCAGGCAGGTAACATCTAGGAGGGAAGTGGGTTGGGTGTTAGAGAATAAAACAGACAAAACCCCTAACTGTTGGCCTCAGGCAGGAGACAATAGGGAGTGGTGGGGACTGTGGCAGCAAAGAGAGCAACTTCTCCCCTGAAGGGCACAGCAGCTTATCCTTCCCTGTGGGAATTCGAGCCCAGATTGTCTGATGTTTTTATGAGAAGTCAGAAAGCCAGAGTTCTGTGAGAAATCTGCTGCTGTTTACTTGTAGGCAGCTGAAGGAGATGCCATCCTTGGCCTGTCCATTCCTCGGCTCAGATGGCTGCCATGTAAGCGGGCAGTCCCACTTACACTACACAAAAGGCTTCCTCCCTCAAGCCCCTGTATCTCCCTGCTGGAGGGTGTTTTCTGGTCTTTGTGCTGGTCAGGCCTAAAATAGGAGGAGTTACCCTCAAAAGTTATTGCTAATGAGGGGCAGGCGTTGGTGAATAGGCACCCCAGCTTCCTCCCCGCTCAGTGGGACCTCGGTGGGAAGTCTGTTCTACACAGTCTCCTGGAGACTCCTCAGAGTGCTCCAGCCCCCACTGCCCAGAGTGCTAACCTACTGCTGCTCATCCTGTGTGGGCTCTCTTCCCCGCCAGACTCACCTCACTCGGCTCCGCGCTCCTGGAGCACCTTACAAATAAACAACTTGAACCCAAACCCTGGTCTCAGGGTCAGCTCTTGAGGGAACCTAAACTAAGACACTTACTGCTGATTTTATTTTATTTTTTTATTTTTTTAAAGATTTTATGTATTAATTTGACAGAGAGAGACACAGCGAGAGAGGGAACACAAGCAGGGGGAGTGGGAGAGGGAGAAGCAGGCTTCCTGCGGAGCGGGGAACCTGACGCAGGGCTCGATCCCAGGGATCATGACCTGAGCTGGAGGCAGACGCTTAACGACTGAGCCACCCAGGCGCCCCAACACTGCGAATTTTAAAACATTTGAAGATACAGTGATAACAGAGAATTCGGAGGCCAAGTGATACTTGACCACTAGGCCTAGAGTGGCATTTCCCTCTGTGGAACAGTGGCCTT